CTCCCACATGAGTCTTTGCACAATCTTTCACAAAAATATGGAGATTTAATGCTCCTAAAGTTCGGTTCCAAGCCTGTTCTCATAGCATCATCTCCAGAAATGGCTAAAGAGATTCTAAAAACACATGATGCTATCTTTTCTTCTCGTCCTGCATTGACTGCTGGTAAGTATATTAGCTTTAACTACTCAGACGTGTCATGGGCACCTTATGGTGCACATTGGCGTCAATCTAGAAAGATCTACCAAACCGAGATATTTAGTCCTAAAAGGCTTGAATCGTTTGAGTACATTCGTGTTGAGGAAAGGAGAAATCTCATTTCTCGTCTTCATGTTCTATCAGGAAAGAAAATTTTTCTCCGACATCATTTGACAGAATTTACCCTTAGCATTATAAGTAGGATGGTTATGAGTGGCACGTACCATAGGGATGAATCAATTGAAAATTTGCAAGGTATGTTAGATGAATGGTTTATCCTTGGTGGGGTGATTAATATTGGGGATTGGATACCTTGGCTTAATTGGCTTGACTTGCAAGGGTACATAAAAAGAATGAAGGCTTTGGATAAAAAGTTGAGAGAATTTTTTAAGTATGTACTCGAAGATCACAAGGCTAAAGGAAAGGAGGACTCTGCTCCAAAGGATATGGTTGATGTCTTGTTGCAACTAGTAGATGACCCTAATCTTGAAGTTAAGATTACCACCGATAACCTAATGGGATTAATCCTTGTAAGTTTTCTCCCATTTTTTGTTTTCTTTTACATTAATGAAAATGCTTTTGAATTATGCAAAATTGAACAAAAATGTTCTCAACTAATAGTTTGATCTAAAAATGGTCTTGTCGCCAATAGTTTGGTAAAAACATGTCTCTATTGTTACTTAATGAGTTGAAGATGCTCTTTTTTTCTAAATAAATATTATTTCTTTTCTTTTCATAAACACATTCTAATATTACGAATAATAATTTTGTTTATTATCATACTTCAAGTCAAAAAAGATTTAGAAATACAACTATTTTCTATTGTTTAGATATTTTTTTTTATGTTTATCGAAATGAAACTAATGATAGGGTTATTATGATCTTATATATATGTCATATATTATTGGTTAAAAAGGTACATGTAGTTATTCTATTTTTATTGATAATATGAAATTAAGAAAGAAAAATTGATTTATTCCTACTTATTTACTAAGTGATTTTAAAAGGAAAAAAAACAAGAATATGATCTTTTAAAAGTAATATTGTTATTAGGAATAAAATGTATTTAAGAAGAAAAGAAATAGTAATATATTTATTAGGAAAATGAAAATTTTGACACATTAAATAATAATAAGGGAATTTTTAAACAAAATTCTTGATAGCATAAGAACTTTTAGATCAAACTATTAACTAAAGACATTTTTGATCATTTTCACATAATTGAGGGATATTTTTAATCCTTTTTCTATAATTAATAGTTTTTATGGTGCAAAAGTTAATTAATTAATTAATTTATACTATTCAATAAAGGGGTTGACCAATTTTTAGTACTTTTTCTATTATATATATATATATAGAGAGAGAGAAATGTGAAGCCCTGGACAACCAATGACAGTTTTATCAATTTAATAAAATCCCAAGCTTAATTTAAGTGTACATTGTGCATTGAGAGTATTGAACATTCCAGAAAAATCAGCCAAAAGTCATGTAATGCTCAATGTATCCACCATTACGTTGTGGATTCCAATCGTCACACGTGTACAACACATTGGGAGGAGTAAAAGAAATCAATGCAAAGTTAAAACATGGATCCCATTTTTTGATTAACTTCAAAAGTCTATACTTGACCACATATTTTCTTTAAAAATAATAATTAATTTCTCATTTGATTTTGTATATACCTATTAGAGTGTTATTAATTTGAATTCATATTTATTTTTGAATGTACTTATCACTTTTAATGAGATTTTTCTCATATTTAAAATTTAAATTCGAGGCCTTTTAATTATTTCCTTTCTTAATGTGGTTCGGTCATGAAAATATAGTTTTTGTTTATTAAGAAAATGTATAGTTAAAGTCGTGTTTGGTCAAATTTTATATTAAAAAATATAAATATAGTGATAGAAATGTGAAGCCCTGGACGCCCAATGACAGTTTATCAATTTAATAAAATCTCAAGCTTAATTTAAGTGTACATTGTGCATTGAGAGTATTGAATATTCCAGAAAAATCAGCCAAAAGTCATGTAATGCTCAATGTATCCACCATTAAGTTGTGGATTCCAATCGTCACACGTGTACAACACATTGGGAGAAGTAAAAGAAATCAATGCAAAGTTAAAACATGGACCCCATTTTTTGATTAACTTCAAAAGTCTATACATTCTTGACCACATATTTTCTTTAAAAATAATAATTAATTTCTCATTTGATTTTGTATATACCTATTAGAGTGTTATTAATTTGAATTCATATTTATTTTGAATGTACTTATCACTTTTAATGAGATTTTTCTCATATTTAAAATTTAAATTCGAGGCCTTTTAATTATTTCCTTTCTTAATGTGGTTCGGTCATGAAAATATAGTTTTTGTTTATTAAAAAATGTATAGTTAAAGTCGTGTTTGGTCAAATTTTATATTAAAAAATATAAATATATTTCAAAAATGCATAATACAAAAATATGTCATTTAACTTGGTTTCATTTGACATGAATGTCTTCCAATTTTGGATGTGCATTGTAGACACAAAAAATTGTATATAATTGAACAAGTAGACACATGTGTCCTACTTGACGTCCTACGCAGCGATACAATTCATGTCCTATGCAACATTCTATGTGGCGTCCTACGTGAATTATGTCTCGTAGGACACGTGTGTCTACTTGTTCAATTTTATATAAGTTTAAATGCTAAGATGTGCACACTCGAAGTTAAATGTCATAGATGTTAAGTGAGGTCAAGTTAAAAGACATATTTATATATTATATCTTTTTAAATATGGTCTACATTCCTCATTTTCTAAAAAATACTTGACTAATTTACCTGAGACATACAACCAAATTGCACTAAAGGAGTCATCTATCAAAATAAATAATCGTATAATGTCATAGATTATATCTCATATAAGAACTACTACATACTATTACAAAAAAAAAAATCCAATTTATTTTTAAAAAAAAATTAAGTTGAATTTGTGTTAAGTTATTGATTTTGCAAATAATATTTGATTATTTGAATATTGTTTTTTACTAAAAATAAAATAAAATATGATATATAATTAAAATGGAGCCATTTTTATAAAAATTAATAATTTACGATAAAATTTAGAAAAAAATATAGTTAAAGTATTAAAAAAGTTTTGAATGTTTTTCAAATTTCAAATACAACTTTAAGTTATATTTGTAATTTTTATAATCCATCGTTGATTTTCAAATAAATAAAGTGAAATAAAAAGATTATCTATTTTTTGTGTTAATTTATTTTCATATTTATAAAAAATAAATAATCAAATATAATATTTATTATCTTAAGAAATAAGATATAATTTAATGTGAAAAGTGATAATGTGGTTAAGAAAAAGTAGAACACAAATGAGTAAATAAGATTAATTCACTCAAATTGTTTGTTGAATTATTATCATTAGATGAGTAAAAAAAACCATTAAATTTAAATTAACTTCTTAATTTGAATGTGTATGTTTGGCATTCTGTTAAAATAACCATTGGATCATATGATATTGTAGTGTTAATTAGGACAATTTAAATAAGTTCTATTATTTGATAATAATAATAATAATATTTTATTATAAAGTGTGATTTTTATTATCATTTTATTATCGTTTTTATTAGAAAAAATATTGATGACAATTTTTCTTTTCAAAAAACTAATTAAATACTTATAATACATTGGAACCACTAATATATTTAAGATTGTAAATTGTAATATTGAGCCTGTTAACGGACCTTCCATTTTAAAAGAAGGTAAAAATGCATACTTATCTATAGGTGGATCGAGTTTATTTTTTCAATTTCAGAATATAAACTCTTTAATATAAACTTGAATGAATTTATTTTTAGTATTAAAATTGTACAGGATTTGTTGGCCGGTGGAACGGATACATCAGCAACAACAGTTGAATGGGCATTTCAAGAACTCGTGAGGAACCCGAATGTGATAGAAAAGGCAAATGAAGAACTTGATAGAACAATAGGTAAAGGAAGATGGGTAGAAGAGGAGGACTTATCCCAACTACCTTATATAGAAGCTATAATCAAAGAGACATTTAGGCTGCATCCGTTAACTCCGTTAATTCCTCCGCATTACTCCATAGAAGAATGCAATGTTGTTGGTTATGACATACCAAAAGGGACAATGGCATTTGTAAACATATGGTCCTTAGGAAGAAATCCTAATTACTGGGATAGGCCACAAGAGTTTATTCCCGAAAGATTCTTAGAAAATGACATTAACATAAAGGGAAAAAACTTCACAATGTTGCCATTTGGTTCCGGAAGAAGGAGGTGCCCTGGGTACAGCTTAGGGATCAAACTTGTGGGGACAACCTTGGCTAACTTGTTGCATGGATTCCATTGGAGATTAACAGGTGACATAAACCCAGAAGAAATAAGCATGAAAGAGATATATGGATTGACTACACACCCAGAAAAATCGATATCTATGATCGTGGAACCAAGATTTCCTCTCCATCTTTATTAGTACCACTTTCTTGGGATCCTATCAAGCCAGAATTTACATTGGTTACTTTCACTTCTTCTTGTAAAATTTATGTATAAATAAATGATCACTACAACATTTTCGGCTTACGGCCACACTAAATCTAGACAACGCTTGTAAAGTGTTGCCTAAAATATTTTTGGGTACACTTTAAAAGCGTAGCCAATGTTTTTAACTTTTCACTTCGATAATATTGACATCTTTTGTAAAGGGTACTCTTTAATGATATAGGCTACACTTTAGAACTGTTGTTATATAATTATGATATAATTGGCAACAAAGCATTATGATATAATCGGCAACAACTATTTGCATATATGGCCACACCTTTAAAGTGTGCTATTTTTATAATTGTAAAAATAACACATTAGAAGTTTGGCCTTGAAAGTTTTCACTAAAATAATATATTTCCTCCAACATTTTCAAGTCAGCTTGCTCCAATTTTTATTTGGGAAAAAAAATTCAAGTCATAAAACATAGCCTTTCAACTCTTAGGTAAAGCTTTGCCCAAATTAGAAAAAAAATCCCAATTTCTTGAAGAAGAAGAACGCCTTAGCTCCAAATCTGAAATTTTTCACCGAGCAAATTGAAGAATTGAAGAGTGGTTTCAAAATTAAAAGGTATTTCTGTACAGATTTTTCTCAAAGCAAATTAAAGAATGGTTTCAAAATTTCATTCTTCATCTTTGACATACGAAAATTCCTGATGATTTTCTAATTTTTCACCAATGACAGAACAAGATGCTTCAATTTAGAAGATGATTTCTTAAAGCTTCATCACATTTAAAGGATTTTTTTGGAATAGAGTTTATCAGGTAAATATTTCTATCTTTAAAAGTCAAAATTTATGGCATCTGGGTTTATTGCTTGCGTGTGGTTACATATTTAGCTTTAGGATTTTGATATTCTTGTGTTTGTTGATACGATTTTTTATTTTATTTTTGGGTGTCTAGCTTGTAGTTCTATTACCCACATCAGTTGATTCTTTGCCCAATGCATTCATCACTAAATAAGTATGAGAATTTCTTTTTTATTAGACTGATAAGCTGATTAGGGCTAAAATCGTCCATGATAATGTAGGTTTCATGTAATTTTTTTAAGCATTATGTTTTTGTTGCTTCGCCTTTATTAGTTTTTGAAGCTACAAACTTCTTAGATTGACTAGAAGAGATTCTATCGGTAAGAAAAAAGGAGAACATAACAATCAAGACTAAGTCACTAAGATAGTAGGCGTTGTTTACCGAAGACTAGAAAAATGATTGCAATATTGTCTGGTAATAATGGATTCTTGGTTTGCCGAAAGAATTTTATAAAACTGGACAGCAGTACCAGAGTGTCTAACATTGTTGTCAAAAATGTGTACACTTGCAAAAATACTTGTGAGACAGGAAAAATAGGAAAGGAAACATTACATATTATATATATTGGAGTGTCCTTGCTAGGTGAAGCTTTAGTATCTCTTGCTATGACATGTGATGATTTGCGTACGACGCTGTTATACCTTGAAAATAGAGGTAGGATGTGATGTTTCTGCTTACTTTTTCTCTTATAGTTATACTCTTGTTTCTTAAGATCCAAGCCATTGTATATGATCTTCCTCTTAGTTTCCTTATCCTCCTCTTCTGACAGCCTATGTCTAGAATTTTATATTTAATAACCAGTCTTATTTGCTATGGAAATTTTAAGTGATATTTGATCTATCATATGGAGAGCAAACCGAGGATGAGTTATACTATTATGTAAGGACACATGGAAGATGATAGACACTATAGTGTATAATAATGAAGGACGAGATATGCTACAATTTAATATTTCTCAATTACCCTAATTCTCAATATAGTATGCAGGGGACAAGTGGGAAGAAAGCCCGAACATATGCTTTCCTTAATCTAGAAGTAGCTAAGGGTACATATCATGTTGCATGCCATCTATGATTGTGAGGTCAGTACCTATGAATTGGTAATTCCGGGTGGTGTCTTTGTTTGATTAGTGTTATTAAAAGCGAGAGCTTTTTCGCTTAAAGCGAGAAGCAAGGCGAAGCGAAGTTGTATCACTTTTTTGCAGTGAAGCGAAGCTGTGGTAAAAGAGCGAGCGCTTCAGTCCCAGAAGTGAGAAGTGAGACTTCAGTAAAAGCGAGAAAAAGTTCGCTTTTCTCATTAAGCGAGGTTTACTGTAACTAGTCTATTGCTGTGACACTCTTTCAAGTGACTACAAGTTAAGTTTTTCATCTCTTCTTTATTTTTCTGTTTCTCTGGCTACAATTTTTTTTTCAACTTGCAGTCTGCAGTTTCCCTTGTTCTATTTTTTTCTTTCTGATTTGCAATATAATCTTCTCTGTTTTTTTCTTTCAGTTTTGCAATTTTTTCTCTGCTTTGTATAACTTTCTCTGTTATGCTCTGTTTTTGGTCCATATTCTACAATTTTCCCTCTATTTTATAATGTTTTTTGTCTCTATTTTCACTGTTTTGTTTTTCTGGTAGTAAATTATATTTACATTTCTATTTAAGAATTGAAAGATTTGCTAAATATATTATTTATATTGTGTTCTTGGTTATTTATCTATGCATATTTGATATTTTTGTTTTTGTACTAAATAGCGCTTTAGTTGAAAAAAGCATGCGCTTCGCTACATGCTTCTCGCTTTGGTGAAGCGAGCCCATGTCTCTTTTTTTCGCTTCTCGCTCTCCAAAACATTGTGTTTGATAATTTTCATCCTCTCTACTCTTTCATTATAGCAGTCTAGCTTTAAACACTTATCCATGTCGCTAATAGTTCTCTTAAGACTTATGTCTATTTAAAGTAGTGTCCTCAGTCCAAGGAATGGTATGGTAATGTTCTGTTAAAAGTGTAGCTAATTAACCCCCACCCGCTTCAACTCCAGTCTAGTATTAGTAGTGACCTTATGTCCCTCATTTTTTCTTTTTCTTTTATAGTTTGATAACGAGTGACCTTATGTCTCTCTTTTTCCCCTCGTAAGTTATAGATCCCCATGTTTGCTATAAATTTATTTGTAATCTCGTGATGAAGAACTGTTCGCTCACTATGTTGCATTACTCACACTCCCATATTTTACCATTCCTAAGCTCATACTGATGATTATCTCGATACGTTGGGATGAATCTTTTTAATTTGCTTTCATATATGAAGTTATTGTTAAGAACATTTTGTTTCTATTTATTGTTCATAATTAATGTTGAAAATATTTGTTTCAGCTTATTGTCCATCCAACTCTTTTCGAGAATAGCATTTGTCACTATATCATGGTTTTCTCATACTTAAAACCTGTATGATTCATATAGTTAAAGCAATAATCAAGAGGGAATTTAGAGATAAGGGCTTCTTTTCTTTTTGGAGAAGGAGAGACCGTACAGATAAGTAGACGTTACAAAGTAATTTTCTTGTATATGCTTGTGTAAATTTAAATTACTTGGTATTAATAATTAGTTAGTGTACCACCCCGCTACTAGAAATACTTGGAATTAGAAAGAAACTGTTTTGGAAATAATCAAATTTGGAAAGTTTGACAAAGTTAAGTTATATATGCATTTTGGGTCAACTTCAAATGACCACAACTCCTAGCTCAGGATGAGTTAGGTATGCTACAACATACAGTAGGAAATATATTTGAATTATCTTTCCAACGCCGCCGAGTTTGCTCAGTTTCGAGTTCATATGAGGGAGATATGCCCATTTGAAGTTGTGATGTCTAGATAAGGAAAGTAAAAACAAGATTATAGAAGGGTATTATGGTTTTTTCCCTACCCAATTATTTAATTTCATTTTTGTTAATTAAGTTGGGGTCTACACTGATTTGTTTCAGTTTACGCTTCATCAAAAAGAGTTAGCCGTTTTGAGAGAAGAGAAAAGAAGAGGAGAAGAGGAGAAAAAGCAAGGATTCGTCGATTTCTTGAGGAATTGAGTGCGGATTTCACCAAGGATTCAATCCTACAAGGTATTTGAGTTCACATAGCATTGGGTTCGTTCACCCACGCGCCAAACATGTTTATTTCAGTATGATTTTCATCCTTAAAGATTGAGACTTTGATGTTCTTGAGTTGTATTCTTGAGTTGCTTTCATTCTTGAATTTGGGATGAGATTGAGGAGTTCTTGCGAGTTTAAGGTCAATTGTTAAAGTTGTTATGATTTAGATTCTTGTGTACATATACTGGGTATATGAATCTAAAGAGAATTTGATAAAAAGAACTGAGTTAAGGCAAATTGGGGTTAGAAAATGAAGAAGGAAAAAGTTAGGCAAATCTGGTGCCCCAGTCCACGTTGTGAACCTGCCCCACCTTTTCCCAGAATTCTTCTTCGTGTCGCGGATTGGTCACAGACCGTTTTGCCTCAAAAAAAATTTCGCGACCAAATATTTAAATGCATCTCCGCGTCGGGGACTTGCTTCCAGACAACGATTTCTTGATCGTTTCTCATGTTTAACTATCTAAAAACACTCCTAAACATCATGAGACCTTTCCTATCACAAATCACAATCCTTGTATTCATAAATTCAAATTTAAGGAAAGTTAAGAGCCAAGTCAAGAGAAGTTCATAGAGTCTTCCAAAAGACTTACAAATGTTTTAACTTTGTTTTAAGACCTGAGTTTTGAGTTGAGTAAAGAGTAAATATTGAAGTTCATTTCTTCAAAAGAGTATATCGGGACTATGTATTCCAAAAGAGTAAAATGTTTTTTCACATTTAAACAAGAAATGAAACTGAGATTTCCAAAAGATCATTTGAGCTAGTTTTCAGTAACGAGTAAATGCTTTTACAATTAAGCAAGAGAGGAAACACTGATTTCCAAGAGAGACTTCGGGCTACTTTTTGAGTAATTATCTCAAACCACAAAGTTATGTTTTTAAACATAAGAGCTAGTATCATATTTTGGGAGTAGTATTGAGCACCGATATAAGAGAGAGTTCAGACAACTCCCAGCCCCCATAAAACATGTAGCCACCATGGGTAGTAAAAGGGTCATACTTTTTAGATGATTCCTTAGTGCCTTTTAGCATAGACTAGTGGATCCACTTAGTAGTCAGGTTTATACCCTTGGCAAGGTATAGGACGGCCCTGGCAGCGTGAGGCAAAAAACTGTATCATCACAATAGCTCTTAAGTGATGGTTGTCGGGTAAAGAAACTCCCACAACAGTATTTTGTATTCTTATATACACAAAGTTTATTGTATTTTTGTATACCTTCAGAGTTTATATTGTATCTTTGCATACATTCATAGTTACTATTGTATTTCTAAATACACAGAGTTCTTATCTAGGTTTTAAAAGTTTTTCTTTATATTGCATTTATTTTGTTGCTTTATATTGAAATGAGTTAAGTTGAGTTAAGTTGAGCCAATGTATGTTCATTAAGTTTCTTTCAAGCTTATGTCTTGTTTTAGAATTCCCCTCGCATGCTCGTACATTCAATGTACTGACGCCATTTGGCCTGCATCATTTTTATGATGCAAATACAGTTAACTAGGATCAACATCTAACACTTCATTGATCCAGTTGAGTATTCAGAGTCTTGTGGTGAGCCTACTTGCTTTCCGGAGGATCCCTATTTATATTGCATTAGTAGTTTTTAGTTGTTAGGATGATCGGGGGGTCTTATCCCGACATCCATCTCAGTTATTAGAGGCTTTATAGACAGATAGTTAGTTCATTTGTTATTATATTATTATTGGCTTATGTTGAACTTTGAGTTGCTACCTTGGCTAAGTCGAATGTTATTTAATACATTCTAAGTTATCTATTGAGCAGTTCAGTTTACTTTATAAAGTATTTTATCATGAGTAAGTCTTTCGCTAAGAGTTAAGCCAGGACAAGGGTCTGCTTGGGGCCAACAATCGTTCTCGAGTGCCAGTCCCGCCCAGGGTATAGGCTCAGGGTGTACCAAGGTAGATTGTGTGTACCAAGGGTGGATGAACTTCAAGAAAGGATTATGGAGGAAGCTCATAGCTCCAGATATTTAATCCATCTAGGTTCCACAAAGATGTATCGTGATTCAAGAAAGGTTGAAAATAGCGTAGAGTCGTTAGAAATCCTACACAAATGTTAGGAGAAGAGACTTAGAGTTTGAAGTAGATGATTGGGTTTACTTTAAAGTTTCACCCATGAAGGGTGTTATGAGATTTGGTAAGAAGGGGAAGCTTAATCCCCAGTATATTGGTCCTTATAGAATATCGGCAACGTATCTTATTAGTTAGAGCTACCACAAGAGTTAGCAGCGGTTCATCCGGTATTCCATATTTCTATGCTTAAAAAGTGTATATGCGATCCTTCATTGATCATACCAACTGATGATATTGGTATTAAGGACAACTTGTCTTATGAGGAGATTCCTATTCAGATTATAGACCGCTAGGTTCGCAAGTTGAGGACTAAGGAAGTAGCATTAGTCAAACTTTTTTGGAGAAATCAATTTGTTGAGGAAGCTACTTGGGAAGCTGAGGAAGATATGTAGAAGAGATACCCAAATCTCTTCGAATCCGTAGGATTTCCAAATTAAAGTACTAATCCTTTTCTTGGCATTTATTTTAAATTGGCTTGTTATATTTACATTTTCCTTGTTGGGTGTTTGAGCTAGATGTTAGATGTTACACCCTTAGCCTGCTAAGATTAATCTCATTCGGGGATGAATGTCCCCAAGGGGGAGCTATTGTAACACTCCGCTACTAGAAAGAATTGGAATTAGAAAGAAACCGTTTTTGGAAATAATCAAATTTGGAAAGTTTGACAAAGTTAAGTTATATATGAGTTTTGGGTCAACTTCAAACGACCATAACTCTTAGCTCAGGATGATTTAGGTGTACTACAAGATACCGTAGGAACGATCTTTGAATTATATTTCCAACTCCACCGAGTTTGCTCAGTTTAGAGTTCGTATGAGAGATATATGCCCATTTGAAGTTGGGCTGTCTAGATAAGGAAAGTCAAAACTGGATTTTAGAAGGGTATTATGGTCTTTTCCCTACCCAATTACTTAATTTCGTTTTTGGTATTTAAGTTGGGGTCTAAACTGATTTGGTTCAGTTTAAGCTTCATAAAAAAAGAGTTAGGGTTTTGAGAGAAGAGAAAAGAAGAGGAGAAAAAGCAAGGATTCATCGATTTCTTGAGGAATTGAGTGCGGATTTCGCCAAGGATTCAATCCTACAAGGTATGTGAGTTCACATAGAGTTGGGTTCGTTCAACCATGCGCCAAACATGTTTATTTCAGTATGATTTTCATCCTAAAAGATTGAGACTTTGATATTCTTGAGTTGTGTTCTTGAATTGCTTTCGTTCTTGAATTTGGGATGAGATTTAGGAGTTCTTGAGAGTTTAAGGTCGATTGTTAGAGTTGTTTTGAGTTAGATTCTTTTGTACATATAATGGGTATCTGAATCTAAAGAGAATTTGAGAAAAAGAACCAAGTTTAGGTGAATTGGGGTTAGAAAATGAAGAAGGAAATAGTCGGGAAATTCTGGTGCCCTCGTCCGCGTCGCGAACCTGCCCCACCTTTTCCCAAAATTGTTCTCCGTGTCACGGAGTGGTCACGAACCATTCTGCCTCAAAATTTATTTTGCGACCAAATATATAAATGCATCTCCATGTCACGGACTTGCTTTCACATAGTGGTTTCTTGATTGTTTCTCATGTTTAACTGTCTAAAAACACTCCTAAACATCATGAGATCTTTCCTATCACAAATCACAATCCTTGAATCCATAAATTTAAATTCAAGGAAAGTTAAGAGCCAAGTCAAGAGAAGTTCATAGAGTCTTCCAAAACTCTTTTACAAATGTTTTAACTTTGTTTTAAGACCTGAGTTTTGAGTTGAGAAAGAGTAAAGATTGAAGTTCATTTCTTCAAAAGAGTATATCGGGACTATGTATTCCCAAAGAGTAAAATGTTTTCACATTTAAACAAGAAAGGAAATTGATATTTCCAAAAGCGCTTTTGAGCTAGTTTTCAATAAAGAGTAAATGCTTTCACAATTAAGCAAGAGAGGAAACACTGATTTCCAAGAGAGCCTTCAGGCTAGTTTTTGAGTAATTATCTCAAACCACAGAGTTTATGTTTTTTAAACATAAGAGCTAGTATCATATTTTGGGAGTAGTATTGAGCACCGATATGAGGGAGAGTTCAGACAACTCCCAACCCCCATAAACCATGTAGCCACCATGGGTAGAAAAAAGGGTCATACTTTTTAGATGATTCCTTAGTGCTTTTTAGCATAGAATAGTGGATCCACTTAGTAGTCAGGTTCTATACCCATGGCAAGGTATAGGACGGCCCTAGTAGCGTGAGGTAAAACGTTGTATCATCACAGTAACTCTTAAGTGATGGTTGTCGATTAGAGAAACTCCCACAACAGTATTTTGTATTCTTATATACGCAGAGTTAATTGTATTTTTATATACATTCAGAGTTTAAATTGTATCTTTGCATACATTCAGAGTTACTATTACATTTCTAAATACACAGAGTTGTTATCCAGGTTTGAAAAGTTTTTCTTTATATTAAGTTGAGTTGAGTTGAGCCCAAGTATGTTCTTTCAGTTCCTTTCAAGCTTATGTCTTGTTTTAGAGTTCCCCTCGCATGCTCATACATTTAATGTACTGGCACCATTTGACTTGTATCATTTTTATGATGTAGATACTAGTAACTAGGATCAGCATCGAGCGCTTCATTGATCTAGTTGAGCATTCACAGTCTTGTGGTGAGCCTCTTTGCTTTCTAGAGGATCCCTATTTATATTGGTTTAGTAGTTTTTAGCTGTTAGGATGATCGAGGGGTCTTGTCCCGAAATCCATCTCAGTTATTAGAGGCTTCATAGACAGTTAGTTAGTTCATTTGTCATTATCTTATTATTGGTTTATGTTGAACTTTGAGTTGCCACCTTGTCTAAGTCGACTGTTATTTAATACATTCTAAGTTATCTATTGAGCAGTTCAATTTACTTTTTAAAGAATTTTATCATGGGTAAGTCTTCTGCTAAGAGTTAAGCCAGGCCAAGGGTCCGCTTGAGGCCAATAATGGTTCTCGAGTGCCAGTCCCACCCAGGGTGTAGGCTTGGGGAGTGACAACTAGGTAGAGGTAAGTATCATGAAGTGAAAATTTATGGAAATTTGAACAAATTTTTAGCATTCATTCTACCTAAGCAGTGTAAATTTGTTAGTTTACTGAATGGACACCAATTATATAATTAAGTAAAGGAAAGTAACATGAGCTACAAAATTTAGGATATTTGAACAAGTTGATGGACTATTTTCGTGAGAGGATGCTATTTTTTGGTGTTTTTATCAACTTTCTTTGAATTGCAGCTCACGTAGGCTTCTCGAACAGTGAATGGCATAGCCCAGTTCAGTCTAACAATAGTAAGAACATGCACCAAAGGTCAGTTGCTACTGCACAATAAAGGATCTGGTGGTTGACACTTTCTGAATTGGATTGGCACATAAAAAATTATTGGCTAACTGGAAGTAAAGTTCCCTGTTATCCTTTGCCAACACAAAGTTAAATGCAGTCTGATGAATTTCCTTGAAAAAAGGCTGGTTTATTTCTCCATGTATTACTTGCTGCATCTTTTACCAATGTCATGCACATGCAGTGATAAATCAGTTCTTCGTCGATGTCTCTGAATTATTTGCTAAGAAAATTTGTTAGATCTTTTTAGTTCTTGATCTCTATCACAAGACTATTGATTTGTTGGTAGAGGGTGATAATTTTATTTTAAAATGCTTGAGTCGCTGGACAGTTTGCTCGGAAGGGATGTCAATTAAAGTTAACTTAATGAATCATAAACTCATTTTAGGTGGACATAAAGTAGTACTTATATTTAATATGGATGTCAATTTTATTCAATAGGTTGAACTTCAGAATCGCCAAAATTTCGGGGAAACAACTAATGATGCGTTTAGGGCAGTGTTTGGAAAGGAGCAGCCTGGTCGACTTAGGTGCTATGGTAGATCAGTGATAAAAATTTCTTTAAAGAAAGATGAGGAAACTAACAAGCTAAAATAAAAGCATGCCAATGAAATCACTTCTGTAAAAGAAGAAATGAATGAAATGAGAGAAGAAATGTGACATTTATTTAGTCAATTGCTGTAAAACAACCCTGGATTGAATGTTCAAGATATACCAGGGGTGTCGGATCTAACCTTGCTTAACCTGATGATGCGAGTAGTGCACAAGCTATAAGAGGCCAAAATCTTCCACATTCTTCTAGGTCAACTCATGATTCAGTTCTTCAAAAGGCATTTTCTGTTTCACACTCACAAGAAACTTAAATGTCTTTCTATTATGAGTTAAAACAAGTTTAATACATGTTTATTTTTGTGAACAATATGTTAGCTAATTAGTGTCTTGAAGACTATATTATAGGATTGTAAATCTGTGATAATTGGCTAATCAACCTTCTCTGTTTCTTTGGAAGTCCTTTTTTTCCTCTATGATAGTAGGCAAGTTGACTAATTATTTCCCGAAGTTGATTGAGTTAATGAGACTAAGGTGTATGCATAAATAGAGCCAGTTACACTTGTGCTCAATTTTCTGATGATTCACTCATTTTCTTTTGTAAAAGGAGACACCAGTATTGCCTTCCTTGTTGCTTCCAGTTACATGTTGCTTCGTGATTTTTGAGGTTGTTTGGTTTTGATTGTCTTTCTTCTAGAGATAGGTTGAAAGTCATCCATCATATCCTTATCAACTCTTTGGTCTTTGACTTTTTTAGCTTGTTCTTCCTTTTGAGCATTGATTATATTATCATTGGCTTTGTTTCTATAATGGTTCATCAGATGACCTTGCATTTTGCCTTCCTTGTTGCTGCCAGTTACATGTTGCTGCCAGTAACATGTTGTTGCGTGATTTCTGAGGTTGTTTGGTTTTGATTGTCTTCCTTCTTGAGGCAGGTTGCAACTCATCCATCATATCCTTATCAACTCTTTGGTCTTTGATTTTTTTAGGTTGTTCTTCCTTTTGAGAACTGATTGTATTATCGCTGGCTTTGTTTCTACAATGGTTCATTAGATGACCTTGCATTTTGTTTTCCTTGTTGCTGCCAGTAAAATGTTTCTGCCTGGTTTCTGAGGTTGTTTGGTTTTGATTGTCTTCCTTCTCGATACATGTTGAATGCCATCCATCATATCCTTATCAACTCTTTGGTCTTTGATTTTTTTAGCTTGTTCTTCCTTTTGAGCATTGATTATATTATCATTGGCTTTGTTTCTATAATGGTTCATCAGATGACCTTGCATTTTGCCTTCCTTGTTGCTGCCAGTTACATGTTGCTGCCAGTAACATGTTGTTGCGTGATTTCTGAGGTTGTTTGGTTTTGATTGTCTTCCTTCTTGAGGCAGGTTGCAACTCATCCATCATATCCTTATCAACTCTTTGGTCTTTGACTTTTTTAGCTTGTTCTTCCTTTTGAGCATTGATTATATTATCATTGGCTTTGTTTCTATAATGGTTCATCAGATGACCTTGCATTTTGCCTTCCTTGTTGCTGCCAGTTACATGTTGCTGCCAGTAACATGTTGTTGCGTGATTTCTGAGGTTGTTTGGTTTTGATTGTCTTCCTTCTCGATACATGTTGAATGCCATCCATCATATCCTTATCAACTCTTTGGTCTTTGACTTTTTTAGCTTGTTCTTCCTTTTGAGCATTGATTATATTATCATTGGCTTTGTTTCTATAATGGTTCATCAGATGACCTTGCATTTTGCCTTCCTTGTTGCTGCCAGTTACATGTTGCTGCCAGTAACATGTTGTTGCGTGATTTCTGAGGTTGTTTGGTTTTGATTGTCTTCCTTCTTGAGGCAGGTTGCAACTCATCCATCATATCCTTATCAACTCTTTGGTCTTTGATTTTTTTAGCTTGATCTTCCTTGTGAGCATTGATTCTATCATCGCTGGCTTTGTTTCTACAATGGTTCATCAGATGATTCTAACATTTTTCTGTTAGAACATGGTTTCTTTTTAATGTTTTGTCACTGATATCTATTACATATGAACATGAAATCTGATTACATTCAATTTGTTTAACAAGGATTCTCTCTAATTTTTAATTTCTTTTTTAATGTGTAGGGAAATGCGGGTGATTGAATTTGAATGGCAATACTGATCAAAGAGTTTTTGAAGTATATACTTAAGTTTGAATACATTTGATTTTGTGGATTTCATTGAAATTACACATCTTTAAAATATTGTTTTTTATGTATGTGTAGTACAAGGCATTATTTTTTGACGTTATTGCAAATCAGTCCATTGGAATTATGTACTGTATTAGTTAAATAAAAGCTGAGATTATATATAAATTATGAATAATGTGATCAGTGAATATACCCAAAAATAATTTCTCAAGAAGAAATTGTGGCATATAAATAATTTATAGCCAACACTGCCTCACTTTAAAAGTGTAGCCATAGGCACGTCCATTGTGTAGCTTATTAATTATATAAATTGTCGTACGTACATTAGAAAATGCTACACTTTAAACTATTGTTGTACAAATCTATAAAATGCTACACTTCAAAAATGTGGCCAGTAAATAAGAAAAGGTCACTCTTAAAAAGTGTGGTCGTATGAAATTGAAGTGTAGCTATATGAAGTATTGCAAAGAGTGGCTAATGTACCTTATTGGCCATGCTTTTAAAGCGTAGCAGATTAGACAACACTTAAAAGCGTAACCTAAAGTCAAAGGTTATGCTTCTTTAGTCCAACCCTGCAAAAGAATTGTCTAAAGTCAAAAAGTATGGCCTATGATAAAAGCAACACTTTTTGATAGTTTTGGCCACAGTTTGCTGGGGAGGCTAAAAGCCTAAAATGTTGTAGTGGATTTTGTTTCATTTTATTGATTGCAAGCTTTTGGCATCAAAGTATGATAGTTTTCATCCATGGAGCCCTTTCCTCCACGGAGTTCCTTAATTCTCCAATTTATAAAGTTAGAAATCCACAATTGAGTTAGGAATTTTTCCTCTATGTCATGGGTTCTTATAAATGTTGATTTATTTGATCGATTTATGAACTCTTATGCATGAATGGATATAATCTTATGATTTTAAGATGAATCCCATGAACCCATGCTTAACCCATGTTTTCTAGAGATTGATGATTGAAAGTGAGTCTTGAACTATGAAAGGTGAATTATTGAATTATGTATGTTCTTATGGAATTGATGAGATATGATGTAGATTGCTTTGCGAGCAAAAGCCAATATGTTGTTGTTGTGGTTAATTGTTGTGAAAGGATTGCTCACATAACTATCTCATGCATGAATGTGAAAGGTTTTCTCACATTAAGAATTCTAAGGTTGAAAGATCTTCTTACCTAAAATGAATCAAAGATAAAGAGATATTCTAATGAAACCTAGCTTGGATTGGTTACTTTATTGTACCTTTCCATGGATGACATATGACTTAGCTTGGATTGGTAATATGACATGCCCTTCCATGGATAGTAAAGACTAGTTAAGAAAATGACTATTCCGTGGGTTTTACACTTAGCACTGAGAGGATATTGGATAGGATCTCTCCCGTTAGTAGAGGCCGAGTTTCTGTAAGCAAAATCTTTATCCCATATCTATGTGCCCCCATAGGATGTTTGTCTTAGATAGATATTAGCTAGTGGATCCACATAAGCTAGAAGTTCTTGGTCTTAAATTGGCTAGTAGTACACTCCTTTTAGGTGTAGGGTAGACACCAAATTCCGTGTTGATATCTCACATAGTTTTAGATGTTGGTTAAAGGTAAATCTCCCACAATGATGAGCTAAGGTTACTTCAAGAAGTATCTCACATGCGACTTAAGATGATATCTATTTGCATTGACCATGTTTTGTAACTTATGTCCTCTCATTCTTTTACATTCATGATTTACCTTGGTCATTGCACTTTATGAAAATGTCCCTTTTTTCATGTTTTCTAATACTTTATGCTTGACTATCATACTTGGTACATATTTTGTACTGATTCATATATACTCTTGCCTACATTTCCCCAAATGTAGGGACCGACCTTACAGATTCACATTTCTCATATAAAAGATTTAAGTTTGGTGAGTCCTCATATTCTGAGGACCGAGCTTGATTCCCCTTTTGTCTTTACTTTCAATTTTGGAACTTGATGTACAGGCTATACCCCGATATACTCATGTACTAGATGGTTTTGAGATGATGTTTAGATTTTTGCTTTTCTCTATAAAACTCTTATATGTTGAAACTGTCTTTTGATCTCTTTATTCTATTTTCTTGTATGATGAACACTACGTGGCTTGTGTGGGGCCTTTCGGGTCTTATACCCATGTTATGCCTAGGGGCCACCTTGGGTCTAGACAAACTTGGTAATCAGAGCACAAGGTTTAGAAAGACCATAGGAAGTCTCATAAGTCACATCGAGTAGAGTCTTGTTCATGAGTGTGAAGCGCGCCACATTTATGAATGAGAGACTATAAGATTATTAGGAAACTCAACTTCTTTCGTTACTCTAAAGTCATGCGATAGAGTGTAACTCTATATGTCTTTCTCCTAATCCCTATTCGGTGCTTTTTAGGATATAGCCCCTCTAAGAGTTTACGTTAGGCGGAATGTGAATGAGAATGTGGAATGAGAAGCTCCTTAAGATCCTCAAGTTTCAGTCGACCCTTTGGCCGAGCAAGTGACTAATGCGGAGTTTAGGTCTGATTTTCCAAGTGTTGGCTCAAGCCATGATGTCTCAATCCAATAGGGAGGTTGTGGCCCCACTGAACCCAAATGTGGGTATGACGACATCTAGAGTGAGGGACTTTACTAGAATGAATCCCCCAGATTTTCATGGGTCCAAGGTTGAGGAAGATCCTCAAGAGTTTATTGATGAAGTATATAAGGTGTTAATGATCATGGGAGTGACACCAGTGGAAAAGGCGAAATTGGCCGCTTAACAACTTAAGGGTGTTGCTTAAGTTTGGTTCAACCAATGGAAGGAAGAAAGGGCAGTTGATACGGGTCCTCTTGATTGGGAAAAGTTTAAGGTTGCTTTCCTTGATAGGTTCTATCCCCTTGAAATGAGGGAGGCAAAAATGCTTGAATTCATCAACATCTATCAAGGAAATATGAGTATGAAGGAATATGCTTTGAAGTTCACACAATTGTCTAGATATGCTCCTACTATGATTGCCGATCCTAGGGCAAGGATGATTAAGTTTGTTTTGGGTGTGTCCGAGATGGTAGTTAAGGAATGCCGTACCACTATGCTTATCAATGATATGAATATTTCTCGTCTCATGATTCATGCTCAACAAATAAAAAATGAGAAACTTAAGGAACGTTCTAGGGAGGCAAAGACGTCTAAGATCGGTGATGACAACTTCTCACATTCAAGGTCCGATAGGCATTGTTGTTCTATGTTTCGACAAAGGTTTTCCAGCCAAGGTTCCTCCAATGCTCTTTCTAAGTTCAACAAAGATAGGGTGTCTAACCCTAAGCCTCAAGGAGGAAATGGTAGTGGATCTTTGATGAGTCTGGATTTCGACTCATTTAGGGATTAATATTCATAGTTTTAGTTTCCTCAATGCTTATTTTATTCTCTAAACTGATGTTTAAATGCTAATTTATAGTTATGAAGGCAAAAGAGCAAGACATGGACATTACCGGGCAAAAAGGAATGGAAATGCTGAAAAAGCTGAAGACAAGAAAGGCTGACGATCGCCAAGACCACTCGGCGACTCGTCGAGTAGTAGTTCAGCTCGACGAAAGTTACAGCAGGCCAGCCCTGGGAAAAAGCCAACTCGGTGATGGAAATGGAGTTTCGGTGAAGCGTCGACTAGATCGGCGATGGAGATCCTGATCACCTAAAGTTACAAAAGAGAAATGGTGAAGAATCAAGTCAAAAAGGCGTTGAACATGGACATTTTGTGCATCGCCAACTGGATTGGCAATGCTCAACTAATTTCGCTGAACGAATCTAAAGACAAAAATCTGGGAAACTATAAATGCGATTTTTTAAAAGAGTTTCAGAGTCCCAAAATTTTGAGCAAACTTTCTGAGTGTTTGAAAATTCTTACATTAGGTTTTTTGTCCCTAACACTGCTCTTGGAGTTTTTGAGTAGGATTTTATAGTTGGATTTTGATTTTGAACTATTTTTGAGCATTGTGAAGACCTGCAGTTTGTTACCAAGCTGATACATGACTTAGTTGGTAACATTTTTGTGCTTTTTACAATGTTTGGCTAAAACCCCCCATTACTGGGGTGTGATTATATGATTAATTTGTCTCAATTAGCTTATGGATGTTAGTATTTACTGATTTAATTATTGATTTGAAGTGGGTTCAATTGATATCTGAGTTTTAATTAATGAATTGTAATTGCAAAAACAATTCGAGTTTAGTATTCGATGCTTGCTTGAGAAAGAGGTTTCAAATTAAAACTATCAATTGATGATTGTAGTTATTGGGCTATTTTTTATTCAGCTTAAAAAAGTGAATTTGAATTCGATCCTACCAATCTAGCTCGAGAGAGTAGATTGATTGAGGTTTTGGGTTGTTCTTAGTGTTATGCTTATCGAGCTACGAGAGAGCTCCCTTGAATCGTGGTAGTTGATCGAGAGATGGATGTTGCACCTAAATTTTATCCTACCCACCAAGATTCAACGTCTTTTAGTAAATGATAATCACCCGTATAGCGAAATTGGCATTTAATCGATCACATCCCCAAGGATCCCTCTCTACTTGATTACTCCCCTATTTTCGTAGTTGTTAATTGCTCAATCTAATCCTCCCATTTGACACTAGTTCTCAACCCTTGCAATTTACTTTAATTGTTTCGATAATGTCTACTTCTACAACTGATTAGAACACTTTCTTTACTTCATTATTGAATTCTCTACCGTATCACTCCGTGTGGGATCGACCCCAACTCTTTGTTGAGTTTATACTAGATTGAGATCGCCTACACTTAGAATTAGATGAAGTGTAGTTGAGCGTTATAAGAAATGGCACCGCTTCTGGGGAGTGGTGTTTAAAATTCTTTTAGTGAAGTTTAGTTGTGATCTAATCTTGTTTATAGTTGAATCAACTTATTTTACTTTTGTTTATTGTTGGCTGCTCT